ATTGAAGGAAAACTCATTTGATAGTGAATATGTGTTCCCCAATCTAGTGTGTTACTGAAGTGTTTTAGTAATTCAAGTATATTACTGCTTTGAGATTAACCACTGAAAAGGAATATGAAGCAACAATCTCATGCTATATTTTGATTTACAGGCTTATAGAATATACAAAAAAAAACATAAAATAATAAAATGGGATGAAATAAAAAGTAATACAAAATTCAATATTCAATTTATATTACATAAAAATAAATGAATACATAAATCTGAATGTTGAATAAATAAATAAACAATTGAATAGAAAAATAAATAATAAAAAAAAATGAAATATGACCAAAATAAATAAATAATAATAAAAATAAGATTTGAAAGCATAGAATAGAACAGAATAGAATGTTTTCTACTTAGATTGGGGAATTTTTGGAGTTCATATTGAGATCTTTTTGACTTAACGGCAGACTTCATATCTACGCAAACCTGAGAACAGTTTGAGACGTTACAAATCCCTCGAGAAGACACACACATATAGACCTTTATTTTCTACTTTTTATTTTATGTAATCTCAGAGAAGCATCTCATTTGTGATTTTTCTTACCTATAGATGCCTGTATCTCGTTGTGGAGCTCTTGGAAATGTCAGGTTTTTCTCCAGTCTAAGTAGAAAACAGTCAAATGCAAGGCCGCTCAACTGATCAAACACCAAACCTGGGAGAGGCTTTCAGTGGATGTATAATGAGAACACAGGGATTTGCTTTGACTCATCAACATCTATCAAGTGTTTCATCAGAGAAGGATTAAGGTGAATCGTGATACACAACGTTAGATGGCTTGCTTTTGATTTCCAGCTTTAGAAGAAAGCAAGGCACATCTTTATCTTGGTCTGCATCTGCCTACTTGTTTTATGGGTCCATGTGAAAGACTGTGTTTATCCAGTGGGAATATTAATCCTGTGGGGATGTTTAATGTAGTTACTTTAAGCCATTTTGTCAATTTTAAATGGCTGTTTTTGAATCGTGAAAGAAACATGTTTGAGTGACAGCTCTAAATTGCCCAGTGATTAGTACTGCGCTGTACTGGCTTCCTCAGATGCCCCGTCTAACTTATAAAGCTACCTGTAAAAGCTTTTGACATTCAAAATCAAAGTGGTTAAATTAATTTTAAAGAAAATTTATTAGTCAGTCCATTAGGAGTGCTGCGATTGTTTAATTGCTTAAATGAAAGTGAATTGCTAGATTTAAAGTGTCTCACATTAATGCCTCACATTTTGGTGCACGCAGGCCGTGATGTGTAAGATTTGAATTGTACTCTATGCAAGTACATTTGGAAATGTGTCAGAATTAATAACGCACCACTTTTTTTAGTCCTGCCATACAGGGCACTATATATAACTAGCATTAACACAGACTGTCTTCTTTTGCAGCCAGAGGTTTGTTACCACCCTAAAAACATACTTTAAATATGTAGAGTGCAACGGGGTGGCTTTGCAATGCGTTGGTCGTACTTGCTTGAAAGTATTGCGAGTATTGCAAGTAAAGAGTTTCTGGCTTTACTCTGAAGTCTTGGCCTGACATCGCACACATGCTAGTAGACAGCTTGTGTAAATGTGCAGTGACTAAACTGGCTCTTTTTCCTCCTACTACTGTTCTGTATTGTGTAACAGATTTTCTGTGAGAACACTGATCTAATTTTCACACAGAGCTGATACTGAGCCAATAAACATGATGACTCTTAAAGAGCCTTTGAAATCAAGAGCAATTCAGAATTATGCTCATTAAGCTACAATCTCATATTATTTTTTTATTTACAGGCTACAAAAATGACCAAATATGAGCATATAAAAAGTAATGATAGATGAGGTAGAATAAAGGTTTAATTAAAATTATGTTTTAATAATTAAATAAACAAACAAACACACTGTAATATAAATAAATAAATGTTTTTAGCCTTTCAAATCAAGTAATTCATTATGCTATATTTTGATTTATTTTTAAATATGAACATATAAAAAGTAAGATGGGGTTCAATGAAAGAATGTATTAAATTACCAAATTAATAAAACTGCATGTTTGGATAAATAAATAAATATTAAATTAAAAAAACATTTCAATGAAAGAAAGAAAGAAAGAAAGAAAAAGAAAGAATTAAAAAAAAAAATTCTACTTAGAATGGGGGAAAAACCTGTCATTCCCAAACCAGAATTTATGTTCCACAACAGGACACAGAGATCTGTAGGAGAGAAAAATTACAAAAAGCTTACTTTAATATCTCAACTGCTTCTCCTAGACAGCAATGAGAATAAATGGAGACTTTTGTAGTTTTGGTCTGACATTGTACACATAGTAGACAAAATATGAGCATATAAAAAGTAATGATAGATGAGGTAGAATAAAGGTTTAATTAAAATTATGTTTTAATAATTAAATAAACAAACAAACACACTGTAATATAAATAAATAAATGTTTTTAGCCTTTCAAATCAAGTAATTCATTATGCTATATTTTGATTTATTTTTAAATATGAACATATAAAAAGTAAGATGGGGTTCAATGAAAGAATGTATTAAATTACCAAATTAATAAAACTGCATGTTTGGATAAATAAATAAATATTAAATTAAAAAAACATTTCAATGAAAGAAAGAAAGAAAGAAAGAAAGAAAGAAAAAGAAAGAATTTAAAAAAAAAATTCTACTTAGAATGGGGAAAAAACCTGTCATTCCCAAACCAGAATTTATGTTCCACAACAGGACACAGAGATCTGTAGGAGAGAAAAATTACAAAAAGCTTACTTTAATATCTCAACTGCTTCTCCTAGACAGCAATGAGAATAAATGGAGACTTTTGTAGTTTTGGTCTGACATTGTACACATAGTAGACTGGTTGTGTTTAAAATGTGCAATGTCTAAACCAGCGATTTTTCCATCCTACAACATGTCTCACACTGACATTTTTCCAAATATTACAGCATAATTCATGTGCTCGATTACATGTGTGTTGCTGGTGAGATGAAGGTTAAAACTACACACCTGGCCATTCAGTCCAAACAAGGTGCTTGTATTAGATGACGTAGGAGTCTGTTTCCTGCTCAAAAGACCAGCATGTTGTGTTTTTGGTGCTGGTCTACTTAACAGCAGGTTGACTAGCCTGACCAGCTGTTGCATGGTGGATCAGCACTGGCATGCTTACAATTTCATTGCAAGCTGTTGATGTCAGCTGGGTTGTTATGATGGAAGCTGTCTGGAGCTGATGAAGTTCAAGCTAATTTTTTTTTAAGTTGACAGTTTAACATTTCTTGGTATTCAATACTGCCATGGGCTGTATCTTTCAAACCTACTTCTAATTAAATCCTGACTCACTAGCTGTCTTCCTTCAAGATGTGCCGTAGGAGGAATTCAGTACTAGAGCATGTGAAATTTTTTATAAATACACACGTACCACCTATGAAATAACAGTGTTGTATTGTGTAACACATTTTCTGAGAACATTGTTAAACTGAGACTAAGATTAAAAAAGGTGTGTGCGTGCGTGTGTGTATATATATTATTTTAGTTATTATATTTACTTTTTTATTTCATTATAAATTTGAATTTATTTATTTATTTTTAATTTGAGTAATTAATTAATTCTAATAACAAATTAGCAAGTAACATAAAATGTATAGATATGAAATATACTACTTGAAATATATATTGTATAATTTTATTACAATATTTAATTATAATTACAAATTAGAACATATAGAAAGTGAGTATATTTATTATATTCATATATACAATTATTGTTATTATTCGATTTGATTTCTTCGATATTGATTTTTTAAATGTATATTATTTATTAATTTTACATGTATATGTGTGCTTGTGTGTCAGTTTAATTTTATTATTATTTATTTTTTAAATGATAAAAGCTGAAATTAAATTTAAAGGATTTAAAAAGTCAATCTAAAATGTTGCTGACTTGTCCTTAGTGGATTTAAGGACATTGCTATGTTGTTAGGGCGTTGCTAGGGTGTTTTTATGGGAGGTTGGTGGGTGGAATGATTAGTAAAAATGTTCACTTAGAAAAGAAAGAGCATACCTCTCCTTTAAAGGCTGGTTTGATTGTAAACTGTTGGCTCACAAAATGGCAAAGTTCTCCCAAAACATCTGTATTACCTTCACTTCAACTTCTTGTTCTTTGATCTTTCTTGGCATACTGGTAACTCCTTTTCCTATTACCCATAATTCCATTTCCTGTCCTCATTCCCCACCCCCTGACTCTCCAGACTGTAGAACATAAAATCAAATGCTCCCGCAACCTCACTTCCTGACATTCATTGACATTTCCTCCAGGAAGCATCTGCTGGTCCCTAATGAAGCGGCCTGTCAGAAGGACAGAATAATACTGTTAGTCATGGGGCATTCAACACTGCATTAGTCCCATGTGAGCCCTTGAAAACCCACACTGATGTCAATCAACACGCATTCAAATCTGACAGTGTTGAGTGTGACATGTAAACAGAGGTATAGAACTACTGTAAAATGCATTCCCAAATGCAATGTTTTCCCACAGTTTGTTTTGTCAAAGAATCCTGTTACAGATACAATGAGCAAGTAAAATAAATGGGAAAAAGTCCTTGTCCAATGTTACACATATCTTTATGAGGGGATGCTAGGCTAGGCAGTTATGATGTTCCCAAGGTATTGAAACCTAAAACCTTCAAGGAGGTAATGGGTGTGGATCCACGATTGGATTTAATGGATCCTGTGCCAAGGAACATAGGTTTTTCCCATCAGTTTGAGCTCATCTATCAATCTGCTGTAGGAGTTTGCGTATTATGCGAGCATTAGTTTCACCAGCAACTGATTTTGATCATAGTTGTGATTGTTTTGCTTCGGCAGCACCACCACCCAAGAGGAAGTGAACGGCTGTGTCAAGGCTGAACAGATTTCCTGTGCTTGTTGTCTTGGGAGGACCTCACAGGGCAGCTAAGAAAGCAGACAGTTTCATTTAGTTCCAGTCAGCGTGCCGACATGGAGCTCTGGACGGGATTATATCTTGTGAGTCTCCTCAACATGGCACGTTGTTTGCCTGAATCGTCCTACACTGTTCATTTGAACAAACTCTCATTCGAACATGCTCAGAGTTATTGCAAACCAGGAAGTTTCCTGACCAACATTCCAAATGAGAAGGAAATGGCGAAGATTCTGAAAACAATCTGGGATGTGAATAGCAAAACCGCCACGTCATTTTGGATTGGATTGAAGAAGGATAAAGGCATCTGTGTTGAACAGCATTTGCCTCTTAAAGGATTCTACTGGACGGTGGGCAGCAGCACTCAATCTGACGTTAAAACCTGGAAAACCGAACCTTCAAATACTTGCGCAAATCTTCGCTGTGGGCTGCTTTCAGTGGAACACATTGACTCTGGTACAAAAAGCAATGGGTTTGTGGATGCTGCCTGCAAACAGGAACATCCTTTCATTTGCAAACGAAACATCAAGCTGGCATGTCCTCGACCAGAAATACTCAACACACATGACATGATTGAGCCAATAAATGATCCGTATACACGTCAGATTGTTTGCCGTTCTGGTGCCAGGTTCAATCTGACATGCTCCAAAGATCTAGTTTGGAATCTGGTCGGCAACGAAAACATGAATATATCTCAACTCTGCCTAGAGTGCAGAAAAGGTTACAGGAAGGATGCGTCCGGAAACTGTGTGGATGTAAACGAATGTGAAGAATCGAATCCATGTGAGCACAAATGCCTGAACACAGTAGGCTCCTACAAATGTCTATGTTCATACAGTGACAATGGCATTTGTAATGGACCATCAAAGCCGCCCACCACCAATCTGAAAAACAATGAATATTCAAACATAAACAGGGGCAAATCTGGGCTAACTCAGCCTACGTCTCTGCCTGATGATGAAGTCAGAATGAATGAGACAGTCATACGCATCGAGGAGAGCGCTGGAGACATTTCAAATATCGTAGTACATGTGATTATAGCTCTGTTGATTTTCATAGTGCTGCTGGTGATTGTGGCAGCCATCGTGAAAGGCTGCCTGAGCAGGAGATCCATAAAACTGACCCGGAGGAAGGCGGAGGATGTGGCTCTGAATGGATCCAGCTCCATGGAGAAGGTGAATGAAAAAGAGGAAACCTAAGTGGGAGAGACTGAGCAAATGTAAGATAATTCAATGTGACACATGCAGGCTACAGAGGGTGCTTTTTGCAAGATATTCTTCTCTCAGAACATTTGGGTGTGAGTTCTGGAGTCACAAGAGTGCTGTGTAATTACTGCCTTTGAATTTCATTTGCCATTCCGTCTCACAGTTGAAATCAGGGTCTTTATGCCAATGTGGATTTGGAAATCCTATCTAGGTCACATCGACGGTAATTCGATTTTGTTTTTGTTTACTCTTTCATAGCTGATATTTAAATGCACCTATGTGGAGATGTAAGAACTGTTGAAGATATTATGTTAATACTGCCTTTGGATGTGTTTTCTAATTATATATTTATGCTATGTTTCACAAGTTTTAAACGTGTCTTTTTAACTGAAGAATAAGAATAAAGAAAGACGGGTGTTTAAACTGCTGTACGCCGTGGTCGTTTCTTTAAGTACCACACGTAAATGTTTTTATTACCTGACAGATATCGCTGAAATTGGTGTCCTGAGAGATTATACTTGTTTCTGGAACTGCTTGTAAACAGCAAAAAGAAGAATCTGACCACTGACGCGTGGCTGGTGTGAGTTTAGTCAGGTTTTATTGTGCAGTTCCGTTTGGTGCCGCTTGAGGCGCTGAAATCACTTACAGCTGTTTTAAAGGTGCGCTCAGTCATTTTTGTTTATAGGATTCTGGCCGATATGGCAGTAGACTTGAACTAATACTAATAATTATCAGTGTGATTGCAGTATCACGCAGATGTATTTTTAAATCATTTCAAATATATCATTTATTAACATATAGTAATATATATATTTTTTTAAAGTGCACCTTTAATAAAGAAAATAGAGTACGATTTAAGTATACATTTCACCTTTTGTCTAAAATGGGATCATGTCATAGTCTGTGAGTTTTTTTGTTGTTGTTGATAATATTTCACAATTAAAAAGTACATAATACATAAATTATAATCATGAATGAATAAATAAACACATTGCGGGTGAAAAAAATTACACTAAGGATAGCCATAAATCAGCTTTGTATTAGACATATTCCCTGCAGCAGCATAAACAGAAGTACAGCAGTCAATGGAAACGTTTCTCACAGGCTTCAGGTCAGATTTGATATCTCACCTTTACTATTAGGATTAGGTTTACAATCAAACACCTAACATTTAGGCTTCAGAACCGTCTTTTATAATTATTACAATATTTTCACTTGAAATATAATTGAAATTCAACCTGTGCCATGTAAAAGTGCAGACTCAAACATTTGCTTTGTTTTTGCATTTTTTAAAAAGAAATGTAACATTAAATGTTAAAAAAAAAACTTCACTGACTAACATTGACAGAATCTACTCAAAACTTATGACTACTGCTGTGATGTAACATTTGCATACTGCACTGCGATTGGTCTTCTTTCTTGCATATATTTGCATACTTAATTTAGATGACTGTTTTGACAAGGCAAGGTGGTTCTGATTTCATTTCTGTACACAGAACCAAAACATAAAAACCGAAAACTGTAACACTATTTGATCCAGCTTTGCAAGCACTGCAAGCTTCCTTCGTAAAATACAAATCTAGTTTTACCACATAATGCACTGAGAGTGAATGGTTTCCCATTATTCCATTTCAAAATAAACAACCATTTGGCTGTGGATATTTCTTTTTTTTATCTGATCCAACGTCACACATTTTACCCATACACACTTTATAATAACTTTCATTAATAAGCCATTCAAAGCATTATATAAGCATAAAAAGTTCATGCACATTCATATAGGCAAAATTGCACATTAACTTTAGATTAAGCATTATGTAATCTAATAATGGCATTAACGAAAGTTATTACGAAGTCTTACCAATACATCTCAACAAAAAACACATACTGCAATGACAACAGATAACAAAACAAGTCTTTATGCTGTAATACCGAGTCCTACAGCGTTGTAGTTCTAGATGTGCAGGTGCCATTCCTGTACGTGCTGCCCGACTCCAGATTGTCCGGCTGAAAGTCATCCACACTGTATCCTCGACTCTTCAGAGCCGTGGCATAGTAATCTATGGGTTCCTCCGTGGCGTTATCCCACCACCGGAGGCATAAAATCCTCTGGAAGGAGCGTCTGAAGTTATCCGACAGGAATCCGTACAGGATGGGGTTGGCACAGCTGTTGGCATATCCCAAAATCACAGCCAGCTGACTGAGGGTGGCATTGTGCTGCTGGACGAACACGCTAATCAGCTGCACGATGTGAAAAGGCATCCAGCAGATCACAAACACCGTCACCACCATCATCACCATCAGCGTGATCTTCCTCTCGGACTTTTTGCGCTGCTGCCAGCCAGCTTTCAACGCGACCACCCGCATCTTCACTATGATGAGGATGTAGCACATGCAGATGGCAATGACAGGGAAGAGAAAGCCCATCAGAAAGGCGTAGATCACAAAAACAGCCATCCACCGACGCTCGGGCTCAGGCATCTGCATGTTGCAAGCCACCGATCCGTCAGAGTTGGGTGCAGTGGTGGAGAAGATGATGATGGGTAGGATGACGAGGATGGAGAACATCCAGACTCCTAAGTTGACCATTTTGGCGATGGTGGGTCTTCGGTAGCGAGCTGCTTTGATGGGATGCACCACGGAGATGTAGCGATCGATACTCAACACAGTCAGACAATAGATGCTGGTGAACATGTTAATGGCATCAACACTTAAAACCAATCGACACAGGAGAGAACCAAAGGGCCAGTGGTGAAGTAAAGAAGAGGTGACTAAGAAAGGCACACTCAACATGAGCAACTCATCCGCGATCGCCAAGTTCAAGATGTAGATGTTCGTCGCAGTTTTCATCTTCGCATACCTGAAGATCACATAAATCACCATCGAGTTCCCACAGAGTCCCACCAGACAGACTACGGAATAGATGAAGGAGATGAAGATCGCGCTGCTGCCGTGAGAAACCCCGTTATGCGTCTCGTTGCTGGAGAAGTTTAACAGATAGAAACCATCCTCCAGGTACTTGAAGGTGTCGTTGGGCACCATTCCGACACTGTTTTGACCCTTTCTATGGATTTTATAAATTAGAAGATGCGCGCATTGATGCTGCGAGACTCCGGAAGGCGCATCCCGACGCTGCGGCGGTTTCAGCACCATGGACAGTTACTCCACATGCATCACATTCACAGACGTCACACGTGCAACACGACGCCATCGGCTCCTAATGGTTTTGTGAGCGTGTCTGAGAAACAAAAATAGTTTCTTGACGGCATCTAGACCTTCATTTCAATGTCAAAACACATAAAAAAATGTCGATATCAAATAAAGCAATACATACAATGTTTCGTCTTTCTTGTTGCCTAAGTTAACTTAAAACAACACTCAGACCGCTGCGGCGGTTTCAGCACCATGGACAGTTACTCCACATCCACATGCATCACATTCACAGACGTCACACGTGCAACACGACGCCATCGGCTCCTAATGGTTTTGTGAGCGTGTCTGAGAAACAAAAATAGTTTCTTGACGGCATCTAGACCTTCATTTCAATGTCAAAACACATAAAAAAAAGTCGATATCAAATAAAGCAATACATACAATGTTTCGTCTTTCTTGTTGCCTAAGTTAACTTAAAACAACACTCAGATAGCTTGATATTTTTTTATTAGAAAGCTATATTTGTAACATATTAGTAACTTTTGCTCTTTTTTGTTGTTGCTCTTTTTGCTTTGAATTTTAGACACCACCATCTTCTAATGACATCAACATCCTCAAAATTGTCACAGGGCTGTTTAGAGCACCCTAGAAATAACTGTGTTTAATTAACATTGTAAATGATAATATTCATTAGAAACCAAACCTATGCTCTTGCAATGAGTTGCATGCAGTCACACAGACTAGAGTACATGCTAAACAGGTAGGCTTAGTTTCCACACACAGCTGAGTTTAAAATTCATAGCTTTTCTTCATGCCCTTTCCCTCTAAAACTGAATAAAATATGTTGTTCATCCTAGACAAAGAAAGGGGTTTTACAAAAGGTCCACTGAACAAATGAAAAGCTCAGTATTTTGAATCTGGAGTCATTCAGTTGGCATCTTTTGTGACTGTTGCCATAGTCTTTATATAGTTTTCCTACACTGCACAATGCCTTATAATAACAACAAAGCACCAGTGAGTGTGAAGAGGAAGATTATCTGTGCTTATTTCTGGCACCACCTAGTGATGAATGCAAAGCTAAAGAAAATAATCCAACTTCAGTTAAAACAAATGCTGTTTTTAGGGGCTATATAGTTTAGTTAAAAATACCAGGTTTCTGATCCATACTACGTTTAGATGCATCGCCAAATGTGTGTAGATGAACCTTTTTATGCAAAACAACAACAAAACCAAACATTGTATAACTTTGGTTAGCTTAATTTTCACTATTTAACAATATAATTCACTTAATATGAATACAATTTTAGAAAATGAAAATCCAAAATATTTAGGTTAAACTCTCAGTCACTTCACTTATAAGGTTTTGCAGGACAGAGTACCAAATAAATAAGTAAATAGATAGACAGACAGACAGATAGACAGATAGATAGATAGATAGATAGACAGATAGTAAACACACGTGTATGGAGCATGTTGCATCTAGTTCAGTTGATCAAAAGCTCTGGATAAAACATTTACATTTATTCATTTAGCAGGTGCTTTTATCCAAAGTTACAACAAAACAATTTGTCATCCATTTAATGTGTAAGAAAATCTATAGCACAGTATGTAAGAGGAGACTACAGGTGCTGAGTTTTTGGTGGATGTTGCTTGAAAGTGTTTGAAAGATAAATTAAGTCTCAGACTAGGGACTTTTTGGGGGCATTTTTCTAATTAAATTTTGAAGAATTTCAGTATGTTGTAACATGCCCACAATATTCTATTCGTTTAACAAGACCTAAATTACCATTTCCCACCTGAAATAATTTTACCCTCTTCAGTCCCAAGCCAAGACACTCCATCTCAAAATGCTCACACCTTGAAAACAGGATATAAGAATAGCAAAAACCTGAAACTCTTTTGTCAGAATTTGAGTGATACCTAATTTTTTCTCACAGATGGAGACTTGTGTTGTCCTTGAAATGTAATGAGCCCAGTAAGAGCACAACATGTGAGGAGCAGATGGCTGTCTTCACACTCTTCTCTCTGAGACTCTCTCTCTCTCTCTCTCTCTCTCTCTGAACTGGAGAAGAGCCAGATCATTCAGCAGGTGTTTCTCTCTTTCCGTCTAGTTAAGACCAGTGTCTTTGCCTGGTGTCATATGAAGTGATCTGACTTCTTCAGGGCAAATATGATTTCAGACATCAGGTAGATACAGCTGTCTGGCTCTGGCTGTTAGGCTGCTTATTAAATTACATTAATTAGTAAGACATTTGATT